TTTTTTTTTTTTTTTTTTTTTTGCACCAGTTTAGTGGCAAATATGGCTTCCCACTTAAATTGTTTGTTTTCTGTTTTTCCCATACAGTCGCACACACCTGACAATTTCGGGCAATTTTATTCCAATCTTTATATGAGCTTTCCATCGCTTTGTCGTAATAAGCAGAATCTTTGTCGCTAAATGTTATATGTCCACCAAAATCCCAGGTAAAACCTTTTTCGTCGACTACCGAGCTAGACAGTCCACCTGGACGTGCTTCCTCAAAAATTCAAAAGGTTGTTTTTGAGAGTGAAATATTAATGAGATCAAACAATATATTTTGGTAGTTTGAAAATAAATGTAAAATTTTTTGCACTGTTTACATATTCTAACAAAAATCTATTATTTTCAGTATTTGATCATCTCGTCCACCAGAAAAAAATTTCTTGTTGAACAAGAAATAAAATTCTTAAACACCAAAGAATTCTATTTAATAGCACAAAATTTTTTTCTTGTAAATCTGGTAAAATATCAACGAAATTTAGAAGAAAAAAGTTTCTTTGAATACTTTCTCAAGAACTGTCAGCTTGATGTTGGCTGAAGCTTCTCCACTCTTTTGTAAATCGTTTAAACGATATGCAACTCCAATACCCACTGGTGCTGCTCCAATTACTACGATTTTCATGATGATATATGAGTGCTAAAAAATTTTTTTTGTAATTTTGATATAAAATTTCTTTTTTTTTTGGTTTTTGTTTTCAACCATGTTTATAAGTACGTTTTTATTTTGTAGAACCAAAAAATATTTTAGCTGAGCAAATAATTTTGCGCTTAATCAGTTAATTTTTGAGCAATTCTAAAAAGTGAGACGAAGTTCAAAGTTTCCTTCACAGAATGCACATAGTTACTGTTTATCCAATAATATTAATTTTTCAAAAAGTATCAACAATAACGACAAAACAAATAATACAGATAAAAAAAATGTTTGATTTTCTACTCAGTCAAAGAAAACTGAATAGTGGAGCATTGATAGAAAAGAAAGCAGTGGTTTTTTTATTAGATGCTTAAATAGTTAAATTTTTTGGCTACAACTGTTATACTGAATACGAAAATTGACTGTATCGTTTAAATGTCATGTACCATTAAGAGGTCATATGCGTTAACAGTGTAAAACAGTAGTAAACAAAACATTTATTAGTTGAATATACTAAAATAACAAAGGAAAAAATCAATTTTGTTTTCACCATCCTAAACGTCAACCAAAATTTTTTGGTTGTCTTCTACAACAGTTGGTGTATCAGTGTCGGTGGACGATGTCGGAAAATCCAAAAATGAATTATCATATACTGAAAAGCAGCAGTTCTATATGATCGCAGGAAAAGACATTGTTAATGTGAAAAAAAGACAGCAAAAATGAAATGAGAACAAATCTAATAAATAGTGTGTTTAGGGTAATTTCCATCGAGATGTCGACACACGACAGGAACGACCTATTAAAAAGAGATTCACGCAAGTGATCTTCTGCCTAATCAAGTGCGGCTTTGTTCCTCTTCTTTTTGTTGATGTTGTTTCATTTAAATTCATTGATATCATAACTGTAATGGTGCATCTAGATTTTTGTTGTTGTTGCTTTTTTTTGCCTTGTTTGCAGTTTAACTGTGTATGTAGATAATGCACCGCAATGGCAAAAAAATTTTGTTTAAGCTCGAAATTTTATAAACGTGACCAAACTTTTTTTTACATACTCTTCAACCTGACAGCGATACTGTCGGTAACAGCTACTGATTTATGATTTTAGTCAATTAAACAATAGTAAATCTAATAATAAACCAATTCATGACCAACGCAAATACGTTTTACCAAAATCTGAACAATTAATCTGTTTCTTTTTTCCTTTTTTTGATACATTTATTAAAAGTGGTCAATCATTTAAGCCAAAAACAAACAAACAAATAATTTATTGGCATAAAATATCTAACATTATCAACTATCGAAGCAATATCCCAGCAGTACTAAAGTGTATATTCAAAGCAGGCAAAAAATACTGACTATTATTTACAGTATAATACCCCCGGAAATTCCAGATCTTTAGTTTATCG